ATCACTTTGATTGCAAAAACCGCAGTAATTTTTTTCGTGAGATAACACAAATTATAGTATCTTTTATCCCCTCTAATATTGAAATTACGGGTTTTCATTGATTTGTATTCATTAGCGACACAAACGAAAGTAAATAATGGATATATACATGATGGTTGTGGTTGATTCTTTTATTTATCATAAATGTTGAATTTCGAATGTCAAATTTGTTCCATGTTTTTTTATAGTAGATATAAATATACAAATTCGTAGGCGACGAAATGGGTTGGATTCAATTCATGCTGTCGAACGCGTCGTGTGTAAGGTTTGAACGTGAGGTGGAGGAAGTTTAAAGAAGAAGATAACGTGGGGGTGGGCTGCAAGTGGGGAACATTCTTCCAAGCTTGGCTGGGGACGGAGTGTTGAATTGATTCAGTGAGTCACATGCAAGGCTGCTTTTTGCAAATATCCCGAAACAAGAAGGCAGTCAAACCAAACCGCGATTAAAAAATGACTGAAAACATGATACACAGCTCATTCTGGGGTGTGGTCCTACCTACTAACCTCACACATGAAGAAAGTGGCAAGAGAGATTAAAAAAAGTAATCTATTTTGGTCAAATATCCTGTCAGAGGTTGCCTGTAAATCCAAATTCATTGCCAACCTTAAACTGCTTACCCACCAGTAAAAAAAAGAGAAATTAAAATGATGACCTTTAGTTATCAACTAAGGGCACTTTATTATTAATAATAAGAATTGGCTGTTGGCTTTTTAAGTCGTTACAACCTTTTGATTGGCATTTCCAGACTTGTTCCATATGCTGTTCAACTTTCATTCGATTTGCTACATTACCTGGAATTTTATTGTTTGAAGTACGGAATAAGACTCTTATCCAAAACTCAACGTTATATTGAAGCTTATTTCCTTTTTGATAAAAGTTTATATCAAGTTAAACAAACACAATTTGTGTGACGATTTTTTCGAAAGCATGTATTGTAGTTAAAAATTAATAAAATTTTGACAAAGAAAAAAATAGCTACCCTCTTAAAGGCTAAGAGCTTCATTGCAACCTTAAACTTGATATTGTGAACTAGCACCATAGAGAAAATCATGGTTTTCCTATTTGCTAGCCAATAATATTGCTGCTCATCTACAAATTTGAATTCAAAGCACAGTTTCTCTCAACCTGTTGTGCCTTGAGCACTAAAAATTGTGAATAAGTAGAAAAAAACAAGGAGGAAGTTGCATGAAAAATTTCATCCCCATCCCCAAAGATTGGCCAATCGACCAGTACAATTTTTTTTCCATCCCCATCCCTAGAGATTGGCCAATCAACCAGAGCCAGATCGCCTCCGTTTCCGCCACTTTTGTCGAATTCTCCAAATGCTCAGAAACAGTACAGAGCCTGAAGAACAGTATATCGATCAATGATTCTTTTAAAAGACAAATCAAAAAAGATTTACTACCAGATTACTTTCACCAACCTGTAACTGCAACTATTGCTGGTACAAGCCAATATTGACCAGCAACTAGTTCAGGCACATCCAGCTGAAAACGCGAGGGAAGTTCATCAGTGCTCTTGATCTGGTAGTATCAAGAATGGAATTTAATCCTCTCCCCAAGTCAATAACATGATGGCCAGGCAGTTTTTTGTTTCTGCCCCGAATTTGTAAATTGTATCCTTTAATTCCCCACACTTCAAATCTAGAATCACATCGACAGATTAAATCCTTCCCTCTGACAGCGGAATACGCAGAGTAATTTACATCAGTTCTTCGAGATGGTGAGCGGTTGTCATTTTCATACAATGGCATATCTTGCTTGACAGACTCTGAGAAAAGCACTGTATCTTTAATATTTGAACCAGTGAAATCCAATACTTTTCTTAGAATACGGCTGCTGTCCAAGCAGTTCGAGTCCCCATATACAGCAATGCGACCTTCACCAACATCTAACAGGCCAAGAATAGGGTAGTCCGCCTGCACATGACAAATACATCACATCATTCAATGTTTGCCAACCATAAGTGACTAAAAATATAAAACATTTCATTGCGCTGAAATAAGGTCCATGTATCCCCGAAAGAAAGAGCATCTATGTCTAATCACCTTGTTCGTGCCAGAATTCTGTAGCACATTTTGAGTAGCCCCACTCTGAGCTATCCAAAAAGGGAAAGCTGTGTACCCGCCTCTTGGAAACCACACTATATCTGTTCCAGATGCATATCGACTCTGCTAGCCATTAATAGAAAAGTCACGATTCAGAATCTTATCCCCAAAAGCAATCCCAAATGGCTCCAAAAGATCATTTAGTGCTGGCATATTTGCACCTCCAGTTACTGGGGTCCAGCAGCTCCTTGTGTTGTCATCAAAAAATCGCATTTTAACCATTGTATCCACATTATACCACTCAGCAAACACAGCCAACCCCAACCCAGTATTCATAACATCACCCCTGAGCTTTTCAATCTCTTCTTGAAAGTACTCATCTTCAGGATCGACCAGCAAAAGTGTCCCATATTGGCTGGCATCAAAGCATGCAAAGGGAGAACCGAGTGTCTCAACATAATAGCCAGCATCAGTTAACATGTTGAACATATTGTGAAAATTTGTATGAAGGTGATCCCCATGCCAATCAAGAATGTCATTCCCCACATCCAATGAGTCTCTTGGAATATATCCAGGAGGATATTTTATAGTTTATACTGTGAAACTGATCCCACAATACCCGTTTTGATCGTGGTGGGGTTGGAATCACATTCAATTTCAACTGAAGCACACAAGTACTACTTCGAGTGGTTTTCTCCCCTTGGGCTGGAGGACTGTATATTCTAACAGTTACATTCCCCTCAATGACTCCAGAAAAATGAGCACCTTCTTCCTTAATTTGCATGTGCAGTGCTATGTAACCAGTCCAAGGCCAGATGACTTCTGAATAAGTAAAGCTAATGCTTAAAAGATTCCCTTCCCGGATGAAGGATGCCATGTTGGCGGACTCTGGACATAGCCAATGACATCCATTCCATTCAGAATGGTAGCATTGAATATAACAGGCAAGGCACCAGAATAGAGAACAAACAATCTTCTCAACAACTTTAATGAAGAAAACTTGCTTTTATTGAAACATTTCCATATCGCATCATAACCAAAATTAGACAAATGCAGAGCAGATTAAAGCCAATATTTTGTTCACTCTTTTGCAATTTTGAAACAAAATTATCAAAATGGTCTGACATATGATCCCCAAATAGGGCCACAGGCCATGAGTTGTACCTTCTCTACAAATGGGAGGTCCAAGTAATCAGGACCACCTATGCTCAAGTTTAGCACGTCCATATTGGTTGCAAGAGCATAGTTGAAAGCATCGGGGAACCAAGATGCGTATGATACCTGCAATAAGCTGAAAACGAAATTCTCATAATCTAGCCAAATTTTATAGTTAAGAGAATGTCTTTAGGTTGATGGATATTCTGTATGATGTATACAATTTTCTCTCGCCTATTCATCATTTTGCAATTCTATCATCTTCTAATTATAGTAATGAACAATTAAAAAATGAGTCTGATCTCTGCAGTGCATGCTAGGCACATTCTCAAATGGATGACTAGATACAATTGAGAGGAAATCAAGGACAAAAGGGGTGAGATTAGCAAAGGAAAGAAAATATCTAATACCAACTCGTGTTACCTGTGCATCAGTAAAAACACGAAAAGCATAAATCTCAGTATCCGGTGCAAAACCAAGACATTATGCATTCTCACCAGCAATAACACCAGCCACAAATGTCCCATGTCCAAGATTATCATTCAAAGTATCCTCTTTAGTCCAGTTAGTTCGTTCCTGAAAAATTTGCTCTCAAGGGTGAATATTAAAACTCTCTATTGAACCCACATTATTAACCTAACGAAACAGAGTCATTTTCAATAAGAAAATAATTTCAAACAGACAAAACTTTAACGGATGTCATTTTTCCCACTAATGACATATCATACCTTAATGTTTCGAAAGTGAGGGTGATCAGCACGTATTCCGGTATCGAAAATAGCCATTTTGACTTTAGCGCCGGTATACCCTTTTCGCCATAGAGCATCCGCTCCGAATAAGGAAGTAACTTGAGGCCTCTGTGAAATCAAAATCATAAATTCCGTAAATTTCCTCCCTCGTTTCAATTCATTTATATTCTCGTAAATTTGGGAAATTTACTTAAATCAAATTAAAAATTTACCTGCAACAAAAGATGTCGACTCCAATTAATTGAGGAATTACTTAAACCCGAATGGTGGAAATGTTTCTCTTCACTAAACGACATTGAAATAAAAATCTTTCCGGGTCGCTTTTTCCCATTCTCAAAAGCTCCACTAAGCAGGCCCCTATCAGCCCTTCAATTTCCTCAATCACGACTTCTTTAACCGAATCCCTGATCGAAAGCAATCCAAAATCAGTGGGGAATTTAGCGGCCGGGTTGTGTCTCTGGATCCACTCCCACCCTTCGGATCGAAGGTTGGATTCCAAGTACGAACGGTGATCGGACGCCTGTTTGTAATCGATGAACCGAGCAATGTAGTTTCCACGGGAGGCTTGGGGTTGGATTCGGTTAGGGGTTAGGGTTAGGTTACGGGACGAACGGAAAGAGAGTTTGAAATGGATAAGGAAAAGGGAGAGAAGAATCATGAAAAGGGAGGATTTCAGAGGCAACGAAGGTTGAGCTGTGGCCATGGTGAACGGGGCTTGTTTGGCGGGAAAATCCACTCATCGGATTGAGAGAAACGGAAGCGGAAGAAGAGATCTCTGGTTTCTGTTAAACTTCAGTCTCATATTGAGCTTCCGACAACCTCGTCGATCTTAAAACAGAGGACAAAATCCAACTTGTCCACCTCATCTGAGTGATGTGTCACGTGACCTTAAACTTGACCGAATTTCGTACCAACCGGTCCGGGCCGAATTTGGGCCGGACTTAAGTATAGTATTTAACAGATTTCAAACCGTTCAAGCTTTGTTCGGTCCGTGATTCGGGTCACATTGTTTATCCGCTTTTACTTTTATCGTATTTTCGAAGAAACACTTCAATTCAGCAGATTTCTATTGTGTCTGTCTGAGTGCAAACACGGGCAGTGCTTCAACCCACTCGATGGCGCGAGGCCTAGTCCTCTGTTCACATACCAGAACCATCGTCAACCTTTCCTTTTCACTTCTCAAGCCCCGCTGCCGCCGTCACCTCCGTTATGATGGATCTCGAAATATACCTTCGACGCGCGTCTTTTGCCATTGCGCTGGCTCCCAAATGATAGACTTAGTAGACATGGCTACATACAATGAAGCTTTCTCCAGGAAAATGGCTATGGCTGGAATCAAACACCACAACCGTATTGGTTAGTTTCTTTTTACTCTTCTCTTTGTTGGGTTTCCGTTTGTTTCCTTACTAAATAATACTATTTCTCATCCTGTTTTTAAGTTGGCAAAAATGAAGAGTTGGTCCTGCAAATTAGTAAATCATTGATTTCATCTCTGGGTTTGTTTGTTTTAGCTCTAGGTGTCTCTGGGGGACCGGATAGCATGGCTTTGTGTGTTCTAGCAGCTAATTGGAAAAGTGAAGTTCAATATGGGATTGACAACAGTGGAAAATTCATTGATGGTCTTTTGGCAATAATTGTTGATCATGGGCTACGTCCAGAAAGCAAAGATGAAGCAAAACTAGTGGGAAATCGGGTTTCAGAAATGGGTATATTTGAGTTTATCTGTGCAAGTTGAGTTTCTCACTTGTATTTGGATGGCTAACATGAGTTTTGTGTAGGAATCAGATGCGAGATTGCCCGTTGTGATTGGACGAATGGCAAGCCTAAACAAGGTCGTTTGCAAGAAGCTGCTCGCGACATGAGGTTGTTTGTTTATCTTTTTGAAGTTTGTTTGAAATGCTTGCTAGTCTGCTAATAGCGCTTTCTTTTTGAGTAAGAATGTTTTATATTTCCAGTTTGGTTTGGTAAGGATTATCATTTGATTAGAATCTCATTTTCTGCTCATTATTGTGCTTGAATTTCAGGTATAAAATATTTCAAGATGTTTGTATGCAAAACCAGATCAGTGTTTTACTTGTTGCACATCATGCAGATGACCAGGTTTTTATCAACATTATTGTTCTTCAAGCAGTTTGTACATGCCTGGAAGATAGAAAAAAGTTATATTAAGCCTTAGACATTCGTTCTTTACAAAAGAAGCTCCATTTTAATTTGATTTACTGGAAACTAAGGGTTAATTGTTTTTGGTGAAGTTTCCTACTGAATTCATTGAAACACGAACGCGGAAGCAGTAACTCAATGTAGTATTTTTCTTCCACAATGCAGGCTGAGTTATTCATTCTTAGATCATCCCGTGATAGTGGGGTACTTGGACTTGCTGGGATGGCATTCACATCACAATTGTTCTCGTCGCATACAATTTTTTTAAACAAAGATTGGATAGATCACAGTGTCCTTCTAGTGCGGCCTCTGCTTGAATTTTCAAAAGAAGATATGTATAAGGTTCGTGTGATGAATATAGCAAAAAATGTGATTGATTCATGCCTCTACCCAATTTTCAGTTATTTATTTGCTGTTTTAATGTTCCCTTTTACTAGTATTCTTATAAGCTTTTAATGGGTCCTTGTTTTCATTTTGATAGATATGTCAAAGGAGTAACCGGGATTGGGTTGAAGATCCAACAAATCGAAGTCCATTATTTGCTCGGAATAGGATTCGGATGTCATTAGAAAATCTGTTATCAGGTGAGTACTGACAGATTGGACAGTTCTGGTCATATTAATGCTGTTATCATTCACAAGTCTTGTAGCTTCAACTTTTAACTTGCTGTTATATACAATGGTTTCCCTCACTGATCTTGCTGCTATGTTGCCAAAGCTTGAGGTTATATATGATCCGCATCGTCAAAGCCTTTGTATTAGTACAATACATTTGCACCCTTCCTGGAGAGCCAATAATACTTTAGACTTCATATTTTGGAATTGACTTTGTTTTCCAGGTACCTTTAAGTCTGAACTACAAGCTGTTATTTCTGCATGTCGAAGAACACGCATCTATGTTGATCAAATCTGTAGCAATTTAATAAAGCAGACTGTTACCGTAATGGATGTAAGCAGTATTTGATGTTGGAAAGATGCTTTTTGTTCTTACTTTAATCTAACTTTACCGTAAACTGCAAGCCAATTCATTTTGATCATCATTTTTGCAGCATGGTTATGCAGTTATCGATTTAAAGGCATTTGATCCATCAAAATTTGATGACATATGCCTGTCTAAATTTATTACATTGGTTTTACAGGTACTAATTGATTAACAGTATCTCTAATTTTTATGAACGATTCTTGAATGTTTCTATTAATTCCATTTTCTTGTAACTTGTCAGTTTATTTCACAAAGGCAAAGGCCAATCAGAGGTAGTACTTCAAAATTGCTGTTGCAATACATCCGTACCATTCCATGCAAGGTAAATTACTTAAACCGAACATGTAGCTTGCAATTATTTAGTTTTTGTTTGTTGCATGTGCAAATATCTTTATTGTTACTTTCGACAATTTTTATAGACCTCCCTTACTGCTGCTGGTTGCTACATTTGCCCGGCTCCTGGGTCTAGGGGTGCCAAAGCTCTGGTCTGCTGCTCTGTCAATTGTCCTCTGCCTTCAAATGCTGAATTATTTCACACATTTTCTGTTGAAGAAGTGAAGTGTTTTTTTTTAAACGAGTTGGAACAAATTATTGCGAAGGGAAAATCATATTCTATTAAGCTGGTCCCTGATGCATCACAAGCACAGTTTTTGGACATGGGGTGTGAATCCGTGCTAAATGAAGCCCGTAGATTAGATATTATCAGTGAATCAACTTATAGAAACATCATTTTATTGCAAAGAGAGGAAGTCAAACACTTTAAGCCCAAAACTGATGATGAAGTTGCATCTAGGTGTGAGTTGAAGCTGGAGACTGAACATGTTAATTCATTTCTGAGCGAACCGCTCCTCCCTGGGAAAACATGCTACTTCATGAACCGTTTCATTATCTCATGGAAACTAAGCAAGGAAATTGGTAGCGATGTGTTTCCTCTGGAATCTCATTCTCTGTCATATTGGGAAAGGGAAAGTCAGCACAGTCATTGCTATTGCATAAACAGGGATGACATGGTAGTTAAGGTGCGTACCATGGTTGATGCTGATTGGCTCTATCTAGCTGAGTTGTCAAAATGGCCATATTTAGATAATTTTGAATGGACAAGATTTCCATTAACCGGCAAGATAAAATGCTCTGATTATTCAAGGTTGTCAGCAAACTTAGCTCTTAAATCACTGAAATCAATCCCAGTTGCTGCAAGAAAAAGCATCCCTGTTCTGGTCAATGACCATGGACAGATAATAAGTATCCCGGTGTGTTGAACTCTTCCTTTTTCTTTTAGATGGTGGGCTGTTTATGAGAATCTTTCTTATACCGAACAATTTTTTCATATTTATATTATTTCAGAGCATTGGCTTTAAACATTGCCCTTTCATGATGGCATCTGCTGTATTCAAGCCAAGGGTACCTCTTGGAGGAGGACACAGTTCCTTTCTCTAGTCATGGCAATTTAAAGCTCACCAGCCACCAGGTATGTAAATTTCTATATGCTTGCGACTCTTGGAGGACTGTTTTTTCTTTTCGGTACCAAGCGAAGCTAAACAAACAATTTATTATATAAATTTTGATTCGATTGTACATATATGTACTTGTGTTTACAAGTTTTGATTGAAAGATTGATTGTAGAAAGTTTAACAAAGGCGTTTCCCTCCCAAAATCCCAACATCAAAAGCGCTGGTTGGTATTTTAGGGGTTGTTTCGTTTGATTTTTTTCTAAAAATGCAAGGCTATTGGGTAGCACACTTGATGAGTGCAGAGAAATCAATGGAAGCACAAAATTGGGGCAGAAATATCACCATCTGCCTTGGCCTCCCCCGAACCGCTGTTTCCACGGAGCGTCATCCTGTTGTTGGATCCATGACAAAAGAGCAGTCTTAACAAGCAGAAGATGTTAACATAAAGGAGTTGATATCTCACAGGAACATATCGGAATTTGCAATCTGAACAATCGGCCATATACTGCCCTCCAAGATCAAGGCCGGGAGAAAATCTTTTAACTTCTTCCTTCACTTGAAGAACGCTTTTACTGGTGGAGAGCTCCATATAAGTGAAGAATAATAGCAAGTCAATAGGGCTAAAGATAATACCATCGATAGTTACTTTGGCAGCAACAAACTAGGTCGTCTTTGGTTGTAGTTGAAACTTCATCTTTATGAATTTGTCCAACCCTTCATACCTAAATGGACACAAAAGAACAAATCCGAATTAAGTGGTCTATAAGAGGACATAACAATCAGCAAACAAGGGAAAAACAACACGAAGCGGTAGTGTCCAAATGGTCCAACAAAGCCGATTCCAAACATGTGACAGCTACCCTTTTCCAATCGATTTTACATCCTAACTCTGCTTCCTTCCAGTTGAAACACCAATAAAATTATCAGATACGATTCACATTACCACTTGAAAATGAAACCTTTGAATTGTTCCTTGAACATTACCATTTACCAGCAGGAACATATAGAACAAAATAAATTATATTCAGTGGAAATGATCCCAAACCAAAACCATCATTGAGGATTGCAAGAATCAACAGAGGGCAACATAAATATACCAAAATCCCAGATTTTCAATAGCTCATATAGGAGGAAAACTACATGAAAAAAAATGCGATAGAACAGAAAAGCAGGGGCTTGCTGGGAATTGGAATTAAAAGGTGCTTACTTTACATTGAAGGCGTCGTTTCTTTGCGGTAGCATAGGTGATGTATTGAGCCCCAAGATCACCAATGCCCCATAGGACACCTGACTGATAGCCTGTGTTTTCAATGGATGAATAGATAAGCAGCTCTCGTACCATTTCCATATCCTCAACATTTTATGATAGCAGAAAAAAATGAAGATAACGAGTTAAAAGAAGGGTAGAAATAGAGGAAAGTGATTGATAAAAGATGAGAGAGAAGAAAAATCAAAACATGAAAATTTTATAGTTTCATTCATCGTCATCGTTACATTTAACTATAATAAAATTATGTTAAGCGAGAATATCTAGACAAAATGTTGTCCAAAGATTTTTCATTAGTATTATAAGATAATTGAAACATAGATTACGCGTTTAAGTTTTTCAATCACCATAATAAAATCACTGATCTACCTTCAACCTTTGCCTTAATGTTTCAGTTGTATAAGATTATTATAATAACAGATAATTTTTAATGATTTTAAATGTATTTTTCATTTTAAGAAATCAGAATTGAGATTGTGATGTTGTGTGGTGAGAAGTAATTATATCTTTTATTTTATTATAAACTAATTATAAATCTGTTCTTTTTCGACAAAAAAAAAAACGAAATAAAATTAAATGAACAGTATTTTACTTTCAATATATTTATACGCTTAGATTTCAGTCCCCAACAAAATTTTTCTTACCTTCTTGGAGTAGAGATGGTGATATCTCTACACTCTTTGCCTCCATTGATTTCAACCCACTTTTCCAAACCCATCAAAAACTATAATTTCACCCCCATTCCCTACTTCAAATCCCCCAAAATCCCTAATCTCACAGTCCTCAATCTCTTCCAAACTTCAAAACCCCGCCTTTTAATCCATCCCCATTCCACATTTCCCGCTAAAATTCCAAACTTTTTGGTGTTCAAGATAGAAAATGCGACAACTTTAGGTCCAAGGAACCAATTTCAAGTACTTAAGAGTTATGGGGTTAAAGAATCTGAGGACACCGAAAAAGTGGCAGACTCTAGTGGCGGTGGCGGCGGAGGTGGAGATGGAGATGGAGACGATGGAGAGGTAGAGAAGAAAAGTGGGCCATTGCCAGAATGGTTGAATGTCACTCCCGATGATGCAAAAACGGTTATTGCTGCTGTGGCAATATCGCTTGCTTTCCGAGCATTCGTGGCTGAGCCGAGGTACATTCCTTCGCTGTCGATGTATCCTACCTTTGATGTTGGGGATCGAATTGTTGCTGAGAAGGTAATTATTGGTTTTTTTATAGTTAATTGACACAAGGTTTCTAGTGGAAAGATAGATTACATTCTATTGATTGTTTGATGTTTGTTTTCATTTTTATGTTTTATTGAGGATAAGGAATGGTGTTTTAATTTTTAAAGTTTTATGGTAAAAACTTCATCATAGGTAAATAGTTTGAAACATCAGTTTTAAACTTTCAGTGAAGGTTGAGAAATAACAGGTTTTAACTTCCTTGATACCTGAAATTGGCAAGTAGTAAAAGCGTAGAATATTTAGGAAGTAGAATTTGTGCTTTGGGAGCTCAAGTGATTTAAGAAAAAAAGAATCTTGTAGTTTTTGTTTTTAGATTGTCGTAACTGGAACATGCCGGTATGCTTTTCGTTTAATGATTTTTCCTAGTAATGATGAAATCTGAAAGTGAATACTGAAATGATCTCTTGAGCCTAAAAAAACTAAATAGAAATACTATGATATATTAGTCAGTGTTAGCCTTATAGACTGTGGCTGGAAGGATGTGTTTGCACAGGCTTTACCAAGAATCATACCCTTATTAAAGAAGGATGTGATATGAACATATAATCTTATTTTGTTTTAGACATTCATCAAGTAAACATGTTTATTTCTTATGTTTGCATGACAAATTTTAAAATTGAAATTGTCAGGTTTCGTACCACTTTAGGAAGCCATGTGCTAACGATATTGTCATATTCAAAAGCCCGCCAGTTCTTCAGGAAGTAGGATACACCGATGAAGATGTCTTCATCAAACGAATAGTAGCTAAGGAGGGTGATACTGTGGAGGTAGGGATATTCTGATGATTTCCGAGTATTAATATTTCACCTTATGATAAGCTGGTTGTATATGTTTCTCACTGTATTGAGAAAATTATTACTACTTGTTAATGTTGCATGCTGTGATGTTGAATCACTAGAGCCAAGGAAGATGTTAGTAAATGGATATTTTTGCAAATTATCCAATTCGTTTCTGTTTGCCTTCGACATTCTATGCAATATGCACAGAGACATCTTATCTTTCTTCCTTAGTTACATGTAAGGTGCCACTCCCTATGTTGCTCTAACCCTTTAGTTTTATTGAAGTGCCCATGTCATGCATATTTGGACCTGGGTATGGAAATATGATCCTCAAAGAACCCTTCAAATACATGAAATTCTTGAACATACTTTTGTTTGACATTCATACCCGTGTCCGAGTAATATAGGCCATTCTTTCACAATTGCTCATATTTTTTTTCTTTTGCTTTGATGTATTACAATCTATGCTTTGGTTTCATTAGAATGAAATATTAAAATTTGTTCTGGTGCAGGTTCATAACGGAAAGCTAATTGTTAATGGGGTTGCACGAAATGAAGAGTTCATCTACGAAGACCCTTCTTATGAAATGACACCAATTGTACGTATCCTTAGCTAAAGGCGAAAATAATTCACAAGTTGTGCAAACTTTTAGTTTTGCTTATTTGTAAGTTAGTGCCAATCTGTTTCTGATTGTGTACTTGCTATTCATGTTTCAGCAAGTACCTGAAAATTCCGTCTTTGTGATGGGTGACAATCGTAATAATAGCTATGATTCTCACGTTTGGTAAGATATTATGCTCATACAGGTTGACATATGTGCATCCTTGATACTTCAAATCTGCAGGTTTCCCCTATGCGTTTTTGTTAATTTCTGTGTGTTTGTTTCGTTTAGGGGTCCCCTCCCAGCCAAGAATATCATAGGAAGATCAATATTTCGGTATTGGCCCCCAAAAAGGATAGGTGGCACAGTACTTGAGCGTGGCTGTGCTATTGACAAGCAGGAGAGTGTCAAAGTATCTGAATAGTGATGTATTCAGCCTTTACTGATTTTATGATTTTTATTTCATATATATGAACCAAAACTTGTATCAATTATCTTAGAAATCATTCATGGAGATTCTCCACACGTATACAAGCATAAACGGAGACATGCAAACCTCTTAATGAATAAAAAATATCCTACCAAGAAGATATTACCTACATCAAGATGATACACTTCTTCATATTTCAATCCAAACTGATCTGCACTGTTTTTCTTAGCAATTATTACTTCCACACTAACCTATCACTTGCAGCTTCAAAAATGACTTAAAACACTCAAAACCCACAATTTCCTCCTGCCTTCGGCTCAGTCGTATTGGCATTAACTGTTTTTAAGCTTGATAGGCTTGCTACCGAGGGAGTCGATCACCAAAGAACAAGTGATACGTCTCCGATTGACTTCACCAACTTTCCGACTACATTCCCTGTGGACCAAACTTCAAAGGTCAACTTCATTGGAACTCCACCTCCATTTGAGACGGCTAAGCTTGCCCCTGCCCTGTACAAAGGAACCTCGTCTTCGTGGAGAGTCACCGCTACAGTTGGATGACTCTTTCTTGATTGATAGTACTTCTTCAACTGCAATCAACAAATATAAGATCAAAATGCCAATACTTTGAGTGATCGAGGTGAAAAACGTCTTAAGAAAAAGTTACCTGACATTAGGACTATATTGGAGCTAACATGAATACCGAAGAAAGTTGCAAGATTGTAAACTGTCATCCTTAATGAACAAGTCATTGTAAGCATCTTGCTTGGAACCCCTGTCATGTCGGCTCCCTCTCCAAAATAGAAATTATGGACTGTCAAGCTCTGCAAAACAAGACACTTGTTTTCATTAAGAAAGAACAGAACTATCCCATTTTCGGACAAAACCCCATTTTTTCCCGAGTATTTTATGTCTACATAAATGAGAGGGTACTTAAATAATATTATCTTAAATAACGACAAATAACATTGTGCGTGTTATATATATATATATATATATATATATATATATATATATATATATATAATAAAGTTATAAAAGCAAACCTTAACAACAATTCGAGCTTTGTAAGGGCGGCTGGCACCCCCAGATGATCAAACAAAACAAACTGAAAACCACAATAAACCCAAACACACCCGATCAAAATCTGGCACCTCCTCGTTAACCCTTTATTTTTCCAAAAAAAATACTCCCCATGATCCCCTTCTTCTTCAATAACGTTAGTACGTTACACTCGGCCAACCCTTTTCGTTCCTCTTCCTTCCTTTCTTGAAAGTTCCCGAGAAAAGGCTAGCGGACGAGGCCCTCGAGTGACGGCTGTAAGAAGTTTTTTTTTCTATGTTGACATAGCTTTATTTTATAATAACATGTCAATAATACCGTTAAATTTTATCTGTGGACGACCAAAATAAAACAAAAACATAATGTTAGTGATGATTTAAAAAATAATAATTAGGTGATAAAAAAGGAACCAAATGATACTTGAGTGACTAAATATGTAGTTTAGCCATACTTCTATTGTTATTTATGTTTTGTTATTCTACGAGTAGTTTATCTTTTATAAATAAACGGTTAGAGTTGTATCCAGATCAATGCAGTTTATCGTTATGATCCGTTTGAATCCAAGAGAAAGTACGTCATGATAGATCAATGTATTGAGATCTTATCAACAACAACAACAACAACAAAACCCAATTCCCATATGTAATATGGCAAGGGGAGGTAGGGTAGTAGGCTGCCCCCAACGCCAGGTTGAGAGTAGCTTCCGTGGAAGACCTCCGGCATTCAGAAAATTAAAAATATAGATAAAATACAATGCATGTATAAATAAATACATAAATACATAGTTGTACAGTATTCATATGCAGTCATTAATATCGTTAATATCATATGCGCGTCTGTAATGGGCAGTAATCTTTGTATATAGACAGAAACGTAAGACCCGACTAAATTTAAAAGTGAAGAGAATGATACACAAAAGTCAAACGATAGCAAGCCCAGTTCTAAGCCTTCATAAATACCAATAACAGAAACGGATAAAAAGTAGAAGTTATGTAAATTACTACAAAGGCATTAAAAGAAGACAGAGATGATACACCCTAGAGATGTGACCCACACTACTCGACTATCCTATTCTTAAGTCTCCATACTTTCCTATCAGAGGTCATGTCCTCGGTAAGGGCTAAATCCATCAAATCAGATCTCAAGCAGTCTTCCCACTTCCGCCTTGGTCGTCCTCTCCTTCTGGCACCGTCGACTGTAATCGACTCTACCCTCCTGACCACATCAGATGGTAGTCGCCTGAGGACATGCCCAAACCACCGTAGTATTCCTTCCCTCAATTTCTCGGAAACATGCACCACCCCCAAGGACATCCTAATAGCAAAGTTTGTTGTCATATCCCACAGAGTCCTACCGCATGTCCACCGAAGCATTCTCATTTCTGCGGCCTCTATCTTCCTTACATGATCCTTCTTGGTTGCTCAACATTCTGATCCATACAATAGTGCTGGTCTTATTGCCATTCTATAAAATTTTCCCTTAAGTTTTAGAGGCACCTTCTTGTCACACAAAACTCCAGTAGCGGCCCTCCACTTTAGCCATCCCGCCTTTATACGGTGTGTAACGTCATCATCTACACCCCCATCTTTATGTATCATAGACCCTAGGTACTTGAAACAATCCTTTGAGGGGAGAACGTGTCCTTCTATGCATACTTCTACATCGTCTTCGTTTTGGTCCCTACTGAAGTTTGAACATAAATACTCTGTCTTATCAATATTGATCCTTAGACCTTTTTCTTCCAAAGCAGTCTTCCAGGTAACCAGTCTATTATTCAACTCATATTTTGTTTCAGCCACTAGGACAATGTCGTCAGCGAAAAGCATACACCATGGTACACCGTCTGGTGTCGCACAAAAGATGTCATCCATAATCAAGGCGGAGATGTAAGGGCTAAGAGCCGACCCCTGGTGGAGTCCGATTTCCACTGGGAATGCCTCGGAGTCGCCAACTGTAGTCCTGACGTATGTAGTAGATCTACAATACATATCACGAATCGTCCGGATATAAATAGTTGGGATCCGTCTCGTTTCCAAAGTCTTCCAGATCGTATCGCGGGGAACGCTATCATAAGCCTTCTCAAGGTCAATTAACGTTAATATATTACAAGAAATCTTCAGTAATGGTCCTTTGAATCGAGTAATGTATTCGTCATTATGTTGAACCTAAAACTAACCATACAAGTTATTTAATACATCAAATGATAAGCTAAAAACCAAAACCAGATGCGGAAGCTAACACGTTGAATTTGCCTTGGGGTTTTTTTTTTTTTTTTTATCGAGCAGCTGCTCTTCTTGCCCGTCGAAAGAAAGCTAATATATCACCACTCGGAAATACTTTCCCGTACAAGCCTTTGCGTCCCAGTTTTTTATTTCCTTGCTGCAAAACATACCATCAACCAGACCAAAGCTTAAACAAATTTGATGCAAATGTAGTTGTGGGAATTGTTCAGTGAAGATATATTATCTTATCATATTCATTATCATGTGGTTTAAAGTTAAAATCACCTGGAAATGGAATGCAGGACTTGAACCCTTTGATAGTAACGAAAGGCCATCACGAACAGGCACTGGGGAAAGAAACCCATTATGAAAAAGCAGATAAAGAAATCAAATGAATTACAACTTTTTCATTGATAAAAATGTTTTTTTACCCAATGTAGAATCAGAGTCACTTTCATCAAAATAAGATTTGAGAGGTGGACTCTTGGATAGTGAAGGCTTGTCTGTACAAGTGAATAAGAAAAGTGGGACTCCATCAGCGTCAAGTTCATGCTTGTTTATGAGTTTTGCAGGACTTGCAGCAACGGGGACCCTGAAAATGGTTGAAACCCATAAACCCAACGTCTATAAATATTTGTATCATTGAGGTATTATGAAAGATTGAATTAGTGTTGATGGTACCTTGGGTTTTCATATGATTTCTCCACAGTTGCCATTGTTGCTATCAGTAATTAGAAAAAACAGAAACAACGAATGATTAACATAAAGAATTAGAATTGTAATGAATACAGCAAACTAGCTAGCTAATTATATACATGATTAAAAGAGATTATTCGGATAACTACGTGCAGATAAATAACGTCTGTGATGTCTCGGCAAAATCGGGTTCCATTTGACTCTGGTTAAAGCAAGCTTGTGAGCAAATTGTTCCCATGAAAAAAGTCTCTGGTACAACATCAAACAAGTATATAAACAAAATGTAAATGCCAATATTCCATGTATCGAAGTTGTATCAGCAAGATGAATATATATATATATATATATATATGTATATACTGACTTGTTGGAGGCTATTGATGCGGAGCTCTGCCTCAGTTAATGAATCACTCTGGGAAATGGAGTGATTTAGATTAGCAGAGACGTTCCCCAGATGATCAACAAAAGTGACGACTGCCTTGCATATGTACTCTTTTGTGGTTTCCACCACACTGCAAATTGCCAAACATACCAATTCACATATGTTGAATTAATGGAGGCTAGCTGATTTCAAACAGTGAGAAACTTAAGTTCGAGCTTAACTCGAGCTCGTGTTTAGAACAACATTGGAGTTTTCATTGAGTTTTACTTTTAGTTTCGATTTAAGTTAAATTATTCGAATATACTCAGTTCTCATGCTTCAAAACTTCATTATCTGTTTTAAGCTCTAAATCCAATCAAAAATTTCTTCAAACCTAGCTAAAATAAATTCAACTAAATCAAGAGTCACTCGGGTACTTGGGAAAAGAAAAACAAGAACAAAAGAAACAGAAGAGAAGCTGAGCCAGTAACTCATAATTCAACCTCGTGTTAAATCAACTCAACCATGAAAAATTCGGCTCCACTGCTTAAAAATCAAGGAGAACTTACATTTTCTTATCTTCAGTGTTCAAAAACGTTGTTTTACAGTAATCCGCAGCGTAATGAAGCTGAGACCGCAAATCTCTCAGTTCCTATCACCATTAAAAAACATAAATATGGAATGAAAACTACCCCCAACCTGCAAAAATAAGAAAGAATGAAGTAAACCTGGAGAGACTTGTCAAAACGAAAGCCTTGGCCTGAGTCATCTTCTTTCTTCATAGGAGAAAATATTTCTGTAACATCCATTTTTTTCGAGTTTTTAGAGCCAAATGATGATTGCGGTCAGTGGTAACTGGTAAGTGGATAGGATGGCTGAGCTAAAAATTTTAACTAGTGAAGATAAGGAGGAAAGCAACCATTTTTTTTATCTCTATCAATATTCTTGTTTGGAATCCACAATTTAAATTCCTGCTCCTGGTTAAATTTAAAAGCGAGAGAAGATAGATAGAGGGTTGGGATGTTTTTCCAAGAAAGGACAAGGGGCAGCCTAAAGAAACTATATAGTCATTAAAGAGAGATTCTGTATAGCATATAAATCTCCATGGACACAAACGGGAAGAAGAGTGAAAGATGACAAAAAAGCATTGCAGTCCCGTGATCTTATGTTTCTTTCCCTTTTTGTTTCTCTTTTAATATCATTTTTCATGGAAAAAGAGCAGTCATCTACTGACAAAATAAGCTCGTGTCACTGCCACACACTCCATCTCCAATTGTAGGACCATAGTTTGCTGGAATTCATTTGTTTTCTTTATGCTTAATCATGGGGAACTTTTCAAGAAATTCTGTGATCAATTGTTTTTCTTTTTGGTGAAAGAAATAGTAAGTAATCCATTTTAAAATGATGAAAAAAGAAGCGACCAAATCGACATACGTTAATCTTCACTAACTCTGGAAGAAGACAAGATAATTTGATATAAAATGCAAACTATTCCGAGCAAAAACAAAATACTAGTACATGTTATTATAATGCAGCAACAGAATCTATGGTCTGCCTGCCAGCATATATCCACCTGAGCTGAGTGATTAATTGATATTGGTTTTAGCTCATATCTCAGCTCGCATAGCATGTTATTCATGTTAGAAGTGTAAATGGACACTCGATGTTACACTCGATGTTTTTTACAACTCACAACAATATTATTTAATTTCAGATTAAAATGCGAATATAAACAACATACCAATGCAACACTAACTTCATCTAGTTTAGAGACACCGCTTTCAAAACTTTGCTATGTTTCAATCTTCTCTCGTATTTTTCTTACTTACATTACACATTTTAACTTCAACATTTAAGCTTTTATATAGACATTCTTAACCGTTTTAAGTTGTTGAAATTTTTTATCGTGTTTTTCTGTTGATTGATGAAGTAGATAACAACCGTAGATGGTGATCGAAAAGTTTTTCTAGTCACCTGAGTCTGATCTTTTTAAGAAGTGTGTATGTGTCCCTATTCCCTATTGCATGGCTTTTTAGTGTCCTGGACAGGTGTCGACTAGGAGTTATCGTGGCATTCGTGTCGATGGGACATCCAAAGAAGTGATGGTTTAGACTAGTATGTCAAACCACTTGTATCAACACCTGATCGTTGGATACCATATGCGGGAGATGTTCACGGTATAATAGGTGATTGACACGTAGTTATCGCTGATAGTTCGCAGAGTATGTTTCGTGTGTTTGAGAGTTCACATGGATCTTATATCCATGTTTCTGAAGATTCGCACGAGTCATATGTTTGCTTCTGGCAAAAAAAAAACCCCTTGGCCTGGTTTTTTCTTCAAATATCTCACTACACGCATTCCTCCCTCCATGTGAGAACCTTTAGGCTGATGCATAAATTGACTCAAACTTTGAACCGCATAGGCTATATCCAGCCTAGTGTATGTCAAATAGATAAGCCTTCCCACCAATTTCTAAAAAGCACTTTTATCTCCCAGCATTGTGTCTTCTAACTTTTCTTTTGCACTTGAATCAAACTCAACATATGCTAATCTAGTATTCTGCTCCAAGAGTGTTGATGCCACTTTAGCACCACTCAAGCCAGTATCCTTTATCAACTCAAGAGCATACTTTCTGGTTAAGGACTATTCCTTCCTTGGACCTCAATATTTCAAGACCGAGAAAGTATTTCATCTCCCCTATATCATTCATCTTGAAGTTTTGATGTAGGATCTGCTTGAGCTCTTCAATCATCACACTATCACTGCCTGTAATGAGCAAATCATTTACATAAACCAGCGTTATCACTACCTTGTCCCCTTGCCGTTTAGTAAACATAGAATAATCATGTTTACTTTATTGATAACCTGCAGCTAGCAAAGTTTCTTTAAGCTTCAAATTCCACTGTCTAGAGGCTTGTTTAAGCCCATACAAGGACTTTTGGAGTTTACACACCATGTTCACCCCCTGACTACAAAAGCCCTCTGGAAGCTGCATATAAACTTCTTCGTACAAATCACCCTGAAGGAATGCATTAAAGACATCCATCTGCCACAAAGGCCAATCAAACATGGCTGCCAAGGCTAAAACCAACCTAACAGTAGTGATTTTTGCCACAGGGGAGAAAGTATCCACAAAATCCACACTTTCCTTTTGAATATACCCCTTGGCCACAAGCCTAGACCTCCCCAAAAGCTTTATACTTCACCTTGTACAACCAATGGGAACCTTACCATGTGGCAAAAGAACAATAGACCACGTGTTGTTTAACTCTAAAGCTTGAATTTCTTCCTTCATAGCAGTAATCCAATGTGGGGTTTTACAAGCAACTTTAGAGGTAGTTGGCTCAACAAGTAAAGAGGTTGCATTAATGAAAGATTGAGTAGCAGGATGTAAGTGAGAATAAGAAATATGAGCAGAAATAGGATGCAAACCTGGAAGGAAAGGCGACTGGTAAGAAGTTTGGTTACAAACATAATCATGGAGCCAAGATGGTGGCTTAACCACCCTAGAGGATTGTCGAAGAATAGGAAATTCTGGTGAGATAACAGGACTGCTAGAAAGGAGAAGTTAAACTAAAGTGGATGATGAAGGACCATGATTAATGTTTAAAGGTGGACTTGGACTTATGCTAGATTCTGGTAAAACAGTAGCTTGTGGGCTGTTAGGAAGTGGAGAATCAAGTGGTGGACTATTAGGAAGTGTAGACTCAAGAGCATCATTATGAAGGAATGGTTCAAAAGAAACAGGTTCAGTGGGAGGATCTGGAACAAGTGACAGAAAATCAGAATAAAAAAACTGAGGCTGTGAAGGGAAAAAAACAGAATTCTGATCAACTACATGATGAAAAGGAAAAATTTCCTCATGAAAAACATCCCTACTGACAAAAATTTTTTTGGTGTCAAGGTTGAAAAGGATATAGCCTTTTTGAATACTGGAATAACCCATAAAAATTGAAGGGATTGCCCTAGAAGAAAACTTATCTTGACAGTTTGTATTTGTGGGATAACACAAGCACCCAAAAATTCTCAAATGAGATAAATTTGGAACCTTACTGTATAAAACTTCAAAAAGAGACTTCCAATCTAACACACTAGATGGTAACCTGTTAATCAAGTAACAAGCAGTAGTGACACATTTCCCCCAAAATTTTATAGGCACTTTAGAATGAAAACGAAGACCCCGTGCCACCTCTAAGATATGCCTATGCTTTCTCTCAGCAACTCCATTCTGTTGTGGAGTGCAGACACAAGAATGTTGATGTACTATCCCCAGAGAAGAAGAAAAACTAACACACTCAGAAGCAATAAACTCAAACCCATTGTCACTACGGACAAACTTAACAGTAGCGGAAAAATGGTTTTTAATGAAGGCAAAGAAAGATTTGACAACTGACAAAGTTTCATTCTTGAATTTCAATAAGAATACCCAGGCCATAGGACTAAAATCATCAACAATAGTAAAAAAATAACAATGCCCACTATAAGTTGAAATTCGATAAGCACCTCATAGATCCATATGAATTAGAGCAAAAGGAGTAGTTGACCTAATTTGACTAGTAGGAAATGGTAATCGTGTTTGTTTGGCAAGAGGACATACATGACACTTGTGTAAAGAATCTGTATCAAACTTGACATGCTGCAAAAATGGTATTTTATTCAACTTGGACAGAGAAGCATGCCCCAAACGAGAATGCCAAGTACAAGTATCTTTAACTACAGACATGCATTTTGAAACAGAAGAAACAGTACAAGGACTGACAATATCAACAGATTGTTTATTCATATGTAAACCAGAAGAAAAAACGAAGGCTGCACAATATTACTCTGATTAGGAGAGACACCAATGGGCGACTTCAAAAAATACAGGCCTTTGAACTCCTTACCGATCCCCCTCGTCCTTCCATTTGAGAGATCCTGAATAGCACAAAAGACGGGACAAAAGGTGACCAAATAATTATGGTTACGGGTGAGATTTGAAATAGAAAGAAGATTATGTTGAAAATGAGGCATAAACAAAACATTATCTAAGGTTTGTTCAGGATTTAAAGGAAAAGTGCCAATGTGTGTAATAGAAACAGTGATGCCATTTGGTAAAGAAACAAATCTGGGAAAGATTGAGCAAGAAGGATTATCCAAACTCTGAAAATCAGACAAAATGTGGTCTGTCGCTCCTGTGTCCATAATCCAGGTTAAAGCTTCATCAGAACGAGGTACACATCCAGAAACAGTACCCGTCAAACTAGCAGCCAATCAACTGCTGGAGCCTTGAGAAGAGTATTTAATTGATCATATAGTTCACGTGTCAAGGCAGGCATGGCAGATGTGGAGTTGAGTTGCTCAGGAGGACTCGCACGTTCTTCTAATAGCTTAGAATTAACTGCCATGGCCTGAGTTGTGCCCTCTTTTCTTGCAATGATCACACGTACCATTGAATTTACGCCTCTCAGAAGTATGCAAATACATTGCAATAGAATTCACAACAGGAGCCAAAGAAGAAGAAGAAGTATAAAGATGAAACCTCTGTGACTCTTCTTGAACAATCATCGAGTAGACCTGATTCACACTGGGAAGTGCTTCATGATTAAAATCTGACTCCTAATAGCTGAATAGGACTCATGAAGCCCCATTAGGAACTGGAAGAGCCTTTGGTGAGCAATGTGCTGCACCATCTGATGCGAACCCTCACACGAGCAAGATGAAAACGAGACCAAAGCAGTATACTCATCCTATAGCAGTTTGAGCTTGGTGTAGTAGGCCGAAACCGTGAGCTCCCCCTGCTGCAAAGTTGCTATCTCCTGATGCAAGAAAAAAAAAAACCTCGAACTATCAACAGTGTCGAATCGTTCTTTGAGATCCTGCTAAACAAGTGCAGCACTTGACGCAAATACAATCCCAGCAGAAAGATCTTTACTAACCGCGTTAAAGATTCACGAAAGGATAATTGCGTTACACCGTTCCCAGTGTGAATGCAAAGGCTCATCAAAATCATCCTTACAACAAATGCCATCAACAAAACCCAATTTATTCTTTGCCAGAAAGCCATACGCATGGAGCGACTCCAAATACTATAGTTTTACAGCCCGGTCAATTGATGCAAGACCGACAGAGCCCCTGACGTATCCGAAGGATGAAGAAACAAGGGGTGATTAAAATCAATTTCAGTGGACAAAGACATACTTGAAAAAAAAAACACGATGAAGCCTAATTCCCAAAAGCACGAAATTAGGAAGAAGAGGAAAAATGAAATGAGGAAGAGCTGTAGCAAACGGTGGAAAGCAAGGCCCAATCAAATACAAAAGAGGCCCAAACAGAAAAATAAAAGAAACTAGGACCACACGGCATCTGATACCATGTTAAGAAAGTAAATTGATGTGTATAAAAAAAAAAAGTAAATTGAAATTTTTCCTCCGACTTTCATATGTTCCAACTAAAAAATAATTCACAAAGCTCAACCATTTATATACAATATATGCAACTAACCTGCCAGCTTAACTACTCTAACTATCTAACAGAAACAAAACTAACTGCTTTAGTTTTTAACACACTTGCTCTTTGTTTCTCCAAAAGTGATAAGGCTAGAGTCTAGGGATGTGCTGCAGCTAGCCATGGCCAATGATATTCCATTAGGCGAAGCAGCTGCCATGAACATTGTGTCTTGTTTGTCGTAACCGTCTTTCGGTTGGGTCCCGAAATTAGGCTTCGACGCGAATTAAATAAATTGGGAGTCACCACCGATCATTTACTTTAAGAAAAGCGGGTTAATCGGATACCTTTTTTCTTATCTGATATGCATCTTACCAGAGATATGTCGGATTCGGGAGTCGGTTACAGTCAATGAAGGGTTAACACCCTTGAACTGCCCTTTCGGTACTACGTAATTTTCAGTTGTCATCAAGTAAAAAAATTGAAAGTTTAACTCAAAAGGTAAAATTAAGATCCAAATTTACTTACCCTAATTCGATTTGAAAATATCCCTTTTAAAAAAAGGCGAGAAACAGGTTAGAGGAAAAAGACAATGAAAGTAAATAAATAAAACAAAGAAAACACATAAATAACACGAATAAAAAAAATGAGATAAGAAAATAAAAGAAGTAAAAGTAAAAATAAACAAGAAAAAAGAATGAAGTAATGAATCTAATAATAAAAAAACAACAATAAAAATAATGAGAAAAAATACAAAGAAAAAAAATAAATGAAAAGAAAAAACAATCACATAAAATAAATAAATAAAATGTAAGTTAAAAGTAAAATAGTAATATCAATTATAATGATAATTATATAAAATATAAATATATACGCTAATAGTAAAAATAAATAGTAATAATACTAGTTATATGAATATATATATATAACAACTTATAAACAAGGTATAAAAAAAATAATAGTAATAATAAGTATTAAAATAAAAAAATAATAGTAAAAAAAGAAATAAAAGAAATTATAAAAAAATATGAAAATCAAAGTAAATATATATATATATATATATATATATATAAAATAAAGTATAAATTAAATAAATAATAATAATAATGGAAATATAAGTAAACATATATGATATTAGTAGGAGATTAAATTGAAATAAAAGCTAAATCAGTAGACAAATGTCAAAGAACATTGAAGATTAAAACCGGCAAAAATAAAAAAGTTTTCATTTTTTTTATAGATTTTCGTACTCTCACTCCAAAAATATAATTTGTTTTTGCGAAATAGCCTATGGGGAAAGTAGATCTGAAATTAAAGTTTAGAAAAACTCCTTCCGGGTCATCAGCTAAAGCATTTGTCTTTGGAGTTCTCAAGCAAAGAAAACGCGATTAACAACGTATGCAAGTGAAGAGTAAAGAGAAACAAACGAAAGGTAAAAAAAAAACTTTCACCTTTATTACTTCGAATCGTTTACAACAGCCTCGAAATCACTTTTTCTTTGCTCGTATTTTTCTAGCATTCCTTTTGTGTAACTCCTGTATCTTCTGGTGTGGTAATTACAAGGCTTATTTATAGTTCTAAAAAAACCCTATTTTAGACTAGTATTTGAGTCCTAATCCAACTCTATTCTAGACTAGTATTTGAGTCCTAATTCAACTCTTCTTTGTTGGTTACATGAAGACTCCTCGGTTGATAGGAAAAAATCTGGTGTCTTCAGCTGCCCCTCTTTGCTCATTATCGTGTAACGAAAATGGAGAAAAGATTACAAGACAAAAATTTTGTCCATATCGAATATCCTCTGTCGTAGAGTTGAAATCATTGTGAGGTTGAGTCAAACTTGGAAAATTCTGAGCAAGAAATCCTTCGTCGTGAAGTTGAAAATGAGCTCAAAGCTTTTGACAAGTGGCCTCTGAATCGTCTTCTAGCTCAAGATACTTCGTCGTGAAGGTGGAACTTGACCTGAAGACTTTGGTGTTGTGATGTTACAGATGACTCCTTCGTCGTGAAGTTGGGTCAATCTGTTTGTGAAGTTGGAATTGTATATGGCTCCTTCATCGTGAAGTTGAGCCTGAGAATCGGATATCCTTCGTTGTGAATTTGAAATCCAATACAAGTTGAAATCGACTCTGAAATTGGGAAGTTGTTTGTTGACAACCAATTGTCCCTTCGTTGTGAAGTTGAACTTGTGTTGTCTCGGGTAACACGATATCTTCCGTCGTGGAGTTGAAATCGGCTCTGAAATTGGGAAGTTGTTTGTTGACAACCAGTCGTCCTTTCGTTGTGAAGTTGAACTTGTGTTGTCTCGGGTAGCACGATATCCTCCGTCGTGGAGTTGAAATCGGCTCTGAAATTGGGAAGTTTTTTGTTGACAACCAGCCGTCCCTTCGTTGTGAAGTTGAACTTGTGTTGTCTCGGGTAGCACGATATCCTTCGTTGTAGAGTTGAAATCGGCTCTGAAATTGGGAAGTTGTTTGTCGACAACCAGTCATCCCTTCGTTGTGAAGTTGAACTTGTGTTGTCTCGGGTAGCACGATATCGGATGGCCCCTTCGTCGTGAAGTTTAGCCTTAACTTGAATATCCTTCGCTGCGAAGTTGAGATCCAAGTATTGTATGTTGCGGGTGGACACGATTCCCTTCATCGTGAAGTTGAAACCGTGGATGACCCCTTTATTGTGAAGTTTGTCTTCGAGCTAGATATCCTTCGTTGCGAAGTTGAAATCTACTCTTAATCAAATTGTGTCGCTTCGAGTTCATTATCCTTCGATGCGAAGTTGATATTGACTCTAGCCTAGGTCTGTCTGGAAATCTTGATTGTGGAATTGTGAAGTTTCGATCCTGATCTTGAATTCTTCAAATGTTCCAATTTGAATGTTCGTTCTTTATCCTTGATCTGGGAAATGCTTCTCGACCATCTCAATTATATGCATGAGCCTTGATCAGCTTCCGAGTACTTGTACTTTTCAATGAACCTTTGTACAATAATATGCGAATATCTTTTGCATAAGTAAATAAATCATTAAGTTTAAGCTCAATCCAGGATGCTCAAAAGGAATTGGTGTAGAGAAAAATATTGTCTTTTATTCATGAGGGAAAAAGAACAAATAATGCATGACAAACATTCTGGAAGATGGAGACATGATGAGGTGTAAATGAATGTCTTAGATTTCAATAATGTGGGCACTTCTGAGCTGAAAAGTCGTTAGGTGACCTTGAATACAGCATTTGCCAAATGATCTTTGAGAATGCGACAACATTTAGGAGAGTACAACCTTTCTCCGACTTGTTGAGTCTGTGGAAAATTCAGATGCCGGGGAGTTTCAACTGTCTGGATTTCTTGAATTATCCAAATAGCCAATTCGGGTTTTCAACTTAGACCCATCCTTGGTTGCAAGACGCCCTTTGCGGGTTTTCATCTTGAACCCACCTTATTTTTTGTTATTTCTCTTTTTCTTTTGTTCTTTTTTCTCTTTTTCAATTTTTCAATTTAGGGCGCCCTTTCGAGTTTTCACCCTAAACGTTTTTCACTTTTTATTCCTGATTTCTTTTTTCCGACTTAGGACGCCCTTTCGGGTTTTCATCCTAAGCAAAGTATTTCTTAACTGCATCCGAATTGATGGGATGTGGCAGGTTAGGTCCGTCCATTTCGGCCAGGACAAGGGCCCCTCCGGAAAAGGCCTTTTTCACGACATAGGGTCCTTCCTAATTTGGCGTCCATTTTCCTCAGAAATCTTTCTGAACTGGCAGAATTCTCTTTAGCACCAGATCTCCTTCACGGAATATTCTCGGGCGTACCTTCTTGTCATGTGCTTGAATAATTCGTTTCTGATAGATTTGACCATGGTGAATGGATTTCAGTCTCTTTTCATCTATCAGATTAAGCTGATCGTATCTGGATTGGGCTTATTCTGCATCATCCAGCTTGACTTCTGTCAGGACCCGTAGTGACGGAATTTCTACTTCAATGGGCAGCACTGCTTCCATTCCATAAGCTAGTGAAAATGGAGTTGCCCCAGTCGAAGTTCCTACCGAGGTTAGGTAAGCGAACAAGACAAATGGCAACTTCTCATGCCAATCTTTGTAGGTCTCGGTCATATTCTCCACTATCTTTTAATGTTTTTGTTTGCTGCTTCTACTGCACCATTCATCTTTGGTCTGTAGGTAGTAGAATTGTGATGCTTTATGTTGAATTGCTCACAAGCAGCTTTTATCATTTTATTGTTCAAGTTTGTAGCATTATCGGTAATGATCCTTTCAGGTAAACCATACCGACATATGATATTTTTTACTCAAAAACTTACAGATAACAGATTGAGTGACATTGACATAGGAAGCAGGCTCTACCCACTTAGTGAAATAATCGATAGCTACAAGGATGAAACGATGATCATTCGAAGCTTTCGGATGGATTTGCCCAATTATATCCATGCCCCACATGGAGAAAGGCCATGGTGATGTCATGACATGAAGCGGATGAGGTGGAACATTTATTTTATCTCCGTAAATCTGACATTTATGACATTTTCTGGCATTATTAATACAATCACTTTCCAGTGTGGACCAGAAATATATGCATCTCATTATCTGTCTCGACATGATATGTTCATTTGCATGTGTTCCACAAACTCCATCATGTACTTCTTCCATTATCATTTTTGCCTCTTCAGCATCGACGCACCTTAACAGAACTTGATTATGGCTTTTTTTGTATAAGACCTCCCCGTCAAGGACGTATTCAGCTGACATCCTTCTAATAGTTCTTTTATCGGTTTCAGTGGCTTCTTCTGGGTAACTCCGATGCTTGATATACTGCAAAACATCGTAGTACCAAGGCTTAGCGTCCTTTACTTCTTCAATTTGGTAGCAATGAGCCGGGTACTCATACGACTGCATGTCAATTAGCATCATTTCAGATTCCCCGCCAAGTTTGAATGCGGCTGCCAAGGTAGCCAAAGCATCAGCCATTTGATTTTCTTCTCTTGGCACATAGTGGAAGGTGACTTCATCGAATTATTCGAGCAGATCCAGTATTAGCTTACGGTATTCCATCAATTTTGTATATTTCGTTTCCCGTTCTCCACGGAGCTGATAGATTACTAATGTTGAATCTTCGTATACTTGCAAGGTCTTTATATTTTGCCCCAGTGCAGCTCGAATTCCCAAGACACAAGCTTCGTATTCTGCCATGTTGTTGGTGCAGTCGAAGTTCAGTCTGCTAGTAAATGGGTAGTGACTCCCTTCTGGAGAAATCAGTATTGCCTCGATACCATGTCCTAATGCATTTGATGCCCCATCGAAATACATTCTCCAGGAACCGTCTGTTGAAGTACTTGTTTCTTCTAAGGATAAAGCCATTAAGTCTTCGTCTGGGAAATCAAAGTCTAATGGCTCATAATTTTCATCGGTTCTGCTTGCTAAGAAATCCAATATGGCACTTCCTTTGATTGCTTTCTGGTTCACATACTCGATGTCGAATTCAGACAAGAGCATCTACCATCGGGCTAACCTTCCAGATAAAGCAGGTACACCCATCATGTATTTTAAAGGATCTAACTTGGAAATCAACCAAGTGGTGTGATACAACATGTATTGTCTAAGTCTTTTTGTAGCCCAAACTAAAGCACAACAAACCTTCTCAATAGGGGAATATCTGACCTCGCAATCGGTGAACTTCTTGCTCAGATAGTAGATTGCTCTTTCCTTTCTTCCAAATTCGTCATGTCGACCCATAACACATCCCATTAAGTTCTCAAATATGGATAGGTACAAGAACAGAGGTTTGCCTGGGATGGAGGACATTAAGATAGGAGTATGAGACAATTACTCTTTCACCTTCTCGAATGCAACCTGACAGTTTTCATCTCATGCCCCAGGGTTGTTCTTTCGGAGAAGGCGAAAGATTGGATCATACTTATCGGTTAACTGAGATATAAACCGAGCTATGTAATTCAATCTGCCTAGAAAACCTCGAACCTCCTTTTGTGTTCGAGGTGGAGGTAGATTCTGGATAGCCTTAACTTTGTCGGGATCAACCTCAATGCCTTTTCTGCTGACCACAAAACTTAACAGTTTTCCAGATATTACCCCAAAAGTACACTTTCTAGGGTTCAGACGAAGCTGGAACCTCCTCAATCTCTGGACGAGTTTCTCAAATGCTCGACATGTTCATTTTTGGTATGTGCCTTGACAATCATGTAGTCGACATAAACCTCAATTTCTTTGTGCATCATGTTATGGAACAGGGTTACCATGGCCCTTTGATATGTTGTCCCAGCATTCTTTAATCCGAAAGGCATCACTTTGTAACAGAAAGTTCCCCACATTGTGACAAAAATGGTCTTCTCCATGTCCTCAGGGTGTATCTTGATCTGATTGTACCCTGAAAATCCATCCATAAATGAGAAGTAGTTGTTCCCGGCTGTATTGTCCACCAGAGTATCTATGTGTGGCAGAGGAAAGTTATCTTTGGGACTTGCCTTGTTAAGGTCCTAATAATCGACACACATATGTACTTTCCCGTCCTTTTTCGGTACAGGCACTATGTTGGCCACCCACTCTGGACATTTGGCCACTTGAAGAAAATCGGCATCAAATTGCTTCTTGACTTCTTCCTTAATCTTAAGGAGCATTTCTGGTCGCATCCTTCTTAGTTTCTGCTGCACTGATTTGCATTCTGGTTTAATTGGCAGTTTGTGAACTACCATATTTGTGTCTAACCCAGGCATGTCTTGATACGACCAGGCGAACACATCTCTGTACTGCTGAAGTAAAACTATCAGGTTGTGTCTTGCTTCCATCGAAAGAGTTGAGTTGATTTTAACTTCCTTTTGATCTTCCTCAGTGCCCAGATTCAAGATTTCGATTGTCTCTTTATGAGGCAATATTTGTTTATCTTCTCTTTCTACCATTCTCAACAATTCGGTAGGCAAGTTGCACTCCTCTTCAGTGTCGCACTCATCAAATTCCCCGGGGCATTAGTGCCTACATTATTGTTGTCTGGGGATCTGAAAGAAGGGAAAATGTGCATGTGTGAGAGAAAAATATCCCACATGAAATAGTCAAGAATTAAATTAGAGTGAAAGTGGAAATGAAGTATCGGAATAAAGAAGATAGATAATGAATTCAAAATGAAATAAAGGAAATTTTGTTTGCCATGAGAAAAGAAAAATGCATCTTTTATTGAACTTAAACCAAATGTTTATTCACCCTTACAAAAGATCACCTATTACCCCAGGTATAGGAAAATAGGGATAGTTCGAATATTACTCTGAAAGACTCTTGTAAATCACAGGTAGTTCTTCGACCGACCAACTACTAGGCACGAACCCAGGCGGCAGAGGGCATATCACAGATCTATCTTCGTTGTCAGCATTTCCAGTGGTTACAGCATTGATGCTCAAATCTTCCAAAGTCGCTTCTAAATCTGACAAGGTGGTCTCAAATACATAACCACATGACTTGAATGTGTGGCAAAGAGGCGGGAATGTCATGGGTTCCCATTGAATTTCACTTCCAGTCAACCTAGCTAGTCTTCTCTCTCGGTTCTTCTGAACTTCTTTTCTCTTTTGATGGTAACTGGGCTGAAAGCCGAGCCCAAACCGGTCTGGCTTTGAAATAGAAAGGACCGGATCAATCCTCCCTTGCAGAAACTTCCCAAACCCTTTTCCAGTCTTGGCACATCGTCCTAATGTTTGCATGATCTCCATTCTGGTACACTTGAAAAGCCGGGGTCCAGGAATCTTCCTTCTGCCACAAATGTGGCATTCACAAATTCTAAGGAGCGGAATGAACACTCCACCACTTCCTCATCCAGCTCGATGTATGGGGCCTCCGTGGTCACACTTGCCACAATATCTTCCTCAGCATTGATAATTACTAAGGCCCCGTCATTAACAAATTTAACCTTTTGGTGCAGTGTGGATGGTACTGCACCCGCTTGATGAATCCATGGCCTTCCCAAAAGACAGTTGTAAGAAGGCATAATATCCATCACTAGAAACTCAATGTTGTAGGTGGTTGGTCCGAAGGTCAACGACACCTCGATTTTGCCAATTACCTCTCTCTTGGTTCCGTTAAATGTTCAGACCACGTTCTGCCAGGCTCTCATATGAGAGGCATCTATTGGCAGCCTTTTCAAAGTGACTAAAGGCATTACGTTCAGAGTTGAGCCGTTGTCAATCAATACACTTGGCAGAGCATGCCACTTGCAGTAGGTAGTGATGTGTAATGCCTTCGTTCGGCCTCTTCCTCCTGATGGAATCTCATCATCTGAAAATGAGATAAGATTATCAGCTTGAATATTATTTACTAGTCGATCCATCTTGCTGACTGGTATGTCTTATGGCACGAATGTTTGATTCAGAACTTTCAACAGTGCCTCCCGACGTGCTTCTGAGTTTAACAAAAGTGTCAACATTGAAGTGCGTGTTGGCAAGTTGTGGAGCTGTTCTATAATACTGTACTCACTATGCTTTAAAAACTTGAGGAATTCTTTAGTTTCTTCCTCCTTTATAGGTTCATTGATAGCCAACACATCTTCCTTGAAGGGCTCTAGTTGTCTTTGCCTTACATTGCTGTCAGATCCTTTGGAAGTACTCACCTGGCATCCGTACTTCCATGGCACTTGCCGATTATCTTTGTTCTGAAAAGGTCGAGGTACCGTAATCACCACCTTTGCTTGTGGAGTTATCGTTGTCGTCTTTGCCTTAGGGGTAAAAAGGACTACCCCTGGAGTGTCTTTTTTCTGATGATTATTCGGTAGCGCAAATTTCTGCTTCTGGGGAATCCTGAACTTCTTCGTAAAACTCCAGCTCATTCTGGTCTATCATGAGTTGGAGTAATGTCCGAAATTCGGAGCACTCTTACACCTTATGCCCCTCTTCGTTGTGATAACAACAGTAGTTACCACCTTCACTCTTTGCTACACGTAACTGCGGTGCAAGAAACCCTACTTTTACCATTTGGCACCATACCCAATCCAAAGGAACTTTGACTTCTGAAACATTGGTTTTTATTCTCCTGCCTTTTTCAATGGTGATTGCATTAATTCTGGTCTCCGGATGATTAGGTAAAGGATTCTGGGTGACGTTCGGTGTTTCAGAGTCGAAAGTGATCCAATTTTGGTTCCGCATTTGCTGTACAAGCCTCTTGAATGCAAGATAACCTTCGATCGAATGCCCTTGCACACCACCATGATATTCGCATTGAGCGTTCTCGTCATACCACCTCGGATAAGGGGGCTTTATTGGATCCATTGGATAGGGCGACACCGCGTGAGTGTCAAAGAGTTGTTGGTATAACTCTTTGTACGTCATGGGAATGGGATCAAACTGCTCCCTTTCCCTTTCTTTCCTTGGTTCTCTTTGAGCTTGGTTAGAAGTACCAAATGGTACGGCTGCAGTGGTTTTTGAGCTTGAGACCTTAACACTTTTATTGACGTTATAAGTGTTGACATTGTTGATCTCTCGGTCTTTGTTCTTCATGGGAGCTTTTTACTAGAATCTCCTCCCTCGATTTTTTCTTGTTTAATGGCCAACTCGATCATTTCGACAGCCATGACTAGATCTGAAAAACCTCATGATGTAATCGCCACCAGGTGCTCGAAGTAAGGGGTCTTCAGAGTCTGTACAAACAACTTCCTAGTCTCTTTTTCATCCAATGATGGATGAACCTGCACAGACAAATCCCTCCAAAGTTGTGCGTATTGTCGGAAACTCTCGTTGTGCTTCTTCTCTAGGCCTTGTAGCATAACCCGGTCTGGTCTCATATCGTTGATATACTTGTATTTCTCCATGAAAGACTTAGCTAAGTCTTTCCATGTCTTGATATGAGTTTGGCTGAGCTGGTTGTACCACCAGATAGCTGAATCGGACAGGCTCTCCTGAAAGCAGTAGATCAGGAGTTGGTCATTCCCTCCATATCCTGTCATCTTCCGACAGAACATAGTGATATGGGCTGATGGGCAGCTGTTCCCATCGAACTTCTCAAACTCAGGAACTTTAAACTTTGGTGGAAGTACCAAATCTGGGACCAGGCTCAGCTCTCTTTCATCCACTCCATAATAATCATGGTCCCTTTGGACCATCTTCATTCGATCTTATAACATCCTGATCTTCTCTTCCATCTTTCTTGCTTTGTCATCTTCATTGAAATCCGGGATACTGTAATCATCCGGACGATTATCAGGATCAGTCGTGGAAGTTTGCACCTTTACAGCATATTGTGCTTTTCCTTTGACAGCAGAAGAGTTTTCTTGAGGTTTTGGTAAGTTCCCGGGTGAAATAACCACCTGTGGGGTTAGTGATATGGTCACCCCTTCAGAGGGACTTCCCCTACTACGCTAGCTTGCTGTAAACCTGATAACTTGGCCACGATTTGGTCGACCAAGGATTCCTGATTTTTCTTGATGGACTCCAGGGTTCTTTGACTATTTTGAGCCATCTTATCTTCCAGTTCTTTTTGCAGTCTTGTCATGTTCTCCTCGAGTTTTTCCATTCTGGCCTCCATTTATCTCTTCTTTGCTCGAGTATTATGTGGATGATGCGTATTTAATGCTTGCGGTGGTAGACTTGGTGTTTTCTCTTTCTCTTTCTGAGACATGTTCTGTTTGTTAATACGAATGTAAAAACATGGAAAATATAAAAATAAACATGAACTATAGAATGCAAAGTATGCAATGCATGATGTATGTAACTTAAAGGCACTGATCCAAAAAAATGTCTATTATTATAAATAATCTTTATTTAGACAAAAATGTTTTATCTTGTAAGGGACATAAAAATAATCAAAGGTACACTCGGACTAAATCCTCCCCGAACAGCTTCTAGTAGGTTGACAAGTCTTCTGCCTTTCATCTGTCACTAGTTGAATGCCTTGTCGAACCACTCCGGCTTCCCTTGCCAGGTTGTGGAGATGACGGGCTGCATTCTGTACTTGATCCAGGAAGTCTCGGATGACTACATCTCTGGCCTTCACCCTTTGTTGTGCTTGCTCCCTAGCGGAGTCGCCAAGCTGTCGTAACCGTATTTCGGTTAGGCCCCGAAATTGGGCTTCGACATGAATTAAATAAATTGGGAGTCACCACCGATCATTTACTTTACGAAAAGCAGGTTGATCGGATACCTTATTTCTTATCTGATCTACGTCTTACCAGAGATATGTTGGATTCGGGAGTCGGTTACAGTCAAGGAATGGTTAGCACCCTTGAACTGCCCTTTCGGTACTACGTAATTTCCAGTTGTCATCAAGTAAGAAAATTGAAAGTTTAACTCAAAAGGTAAAATTACGATCCAAAATTACTTACCCTAATTCGATTTGAAAATATCCCTTTTAAAAAAAGGCGAGAAACATGTTAGAGGAAAAAGACAATGGAAGTAAATAAATAAAACAAAGAAAACACATAAATAACACGAATAAACAAAATGAGATAAAAAAAATAAGAAATAAAGAAGTAAAGTAAAAATAAACAAGAAAAAAGAATGAAGTAACGAATCTAATAATAAAAAAACAACAATAAAAATAATGAGGAAAAATACAAAGAAAATAAAAAATAAATGTAAAGAAAAAACACTCACATAAAATTAAAAAAATGTAAGTTAAAAGTAAAATAGTAATATCAATTATAATGATAATTATAAAAATATAAATATATACGTTAATAGCAAAAATAAATAGTAATAATACTAGTTACATGAATATATATATATATATATCAACTTATAAACAAGGTATAAAAAAATAATAGTAATAATAAGTATTAAAATAAAAATAATAATAGTAAAAAAAGAAATAAAAGAAATTATAAAGAATATGAAAATCAAAGTAAACATGTATGATATTACAACAGCCTCGAAATCACTTTTTCTTTGCTCGTATTTTTCTGGCATTCCTTTTGTGTAACCCCTGTGTCTTCTGGTGTAGTAATTACAAGGTTTATTTATAGTACTAAAAAAACCCTATTTTATACTAGTATTTGAGTTCTAATCCAACTCTATTCTAGACTAATATTTGAGTCCTAATCCAACTCTTCTTTATTGGTTACATGAAGACTCCTCGATTAGTAAGACAAAATCTGGTGTCTTCATTGTTCATCACACATGAACGCCAAATTAAGTTCAAGGAGACATAGGCCTTCCCTTTGGAAATAATATCTTGCTGGCTTTCCGGCCTGTCTTGAATGGATGATGCAAGGGAAGTTCCCGAGTGATCTTCTGCACATTTTTCAGTCAAACTCTCTGATCCGAATGGATATAGAAATTGAGAGAAGATTCATTAGTTGAAAAAGTTGGACATTGGCAAATAATTAAGTTAATTAAATATATAAATATAAAAGACTCATTGTATTATTATATAAATTTAAAATATATTATATTAATAATTTTATTAAACAATTAATAACAAATGGTATAATTAAAATAAAATTAATAATTCAACCAATTAAAGTAAAATCAAATCCAATGTTTAATAACTAATAGAAAAATACGAATAAAACAATCTTAATAATTTTAAAAAAAGATAATTATTATTTCTAAAAATCCTAAGATTATACATAATATTTATAAAAAAAATTAAATATATATTTTTAAATAATTAAAAAATTAAAAATATTATCTTATAATTATTCATATTAATAAAAAAAATTGACAAAGAGAGTAAAACAACGGCCTACCCACACTAGGGGTGTAAACGAGCCGAGTCGAGCTCGACTCGAAAACTTTGAAATGGAGTTTAACTCGATTCGAAAACTCGCGAGCTTAAAATTTTTAAGTTCGAATCGAACTCGAAATTATGAACTGAAGCTCATGAGCAGCTCGAAAAGACTCAAAATGAAGAAGAAAAAAATCTTAAACTTAACTAGATTGAAGTCTTAAACTCAAACTCGAGCATGAACCTTAAATACATGAAAACCTTACTATATTTTTTAAAAACAATCAACACATAGATGTTAATATTATTAATAATTTATTTTTTTAAAAATAAAATCTTAATATATTATATTTTCGAGCTACTCACGAGCTTTTCCAGTCGAGTGTCAAGTAGCTTGTTTCGGCTCGTTAAAAATTCGAGCCGAACTCAAACTCGACTCGAATCTATTTGATCCGAGTATTTATCGAGCCTTGATCGAATCAATCTCGAATAACTCACGATCTGTCTCGTCTCAATTACAGCCCTAACCCACACTCTATTTACTGCAGTAATAACCATTCAATAAATTCTTTGTTATCGCCACCTGTCTTCTTCAAGACCGTGAAATTTAAATTCCCTGTTTGAAATGTCCAAATTACCCCATGTGCATCCTCTCCCAGCAACCTGACACCTTCCATTTAAACTTTTAAGACAGGTGTCGACACCAAATCAAACTCCCCTCCTTTTCTCGTTCGCGACTGACGGTGAGTGCCTAAATCACGTTCTCTTTACAGTTTAATTTGTATTTTAGCGACCAAAAATAAGTTAATAATTTAAATTATTTTAATTAAACTAAAAAGCTATACTTAAGTATCCTGTTATAATATTTGTCTCTTTCTCGCGCTTTAATTCAATCCATTTTTCTTTAAAAGAAGAAAGCCCATTGCATGTTCTCTGTTCCTTAATTATGAAAAATCACCTTCTCTCCCAAATCCCCACTACTAGTTAACCTCCTTTCATCTGGCGCAAGATAGCATATACCTCTACCTTTTTTTTTCTTCTTTTTTATGATTTATAAATAACTTGGGAGCTCTCTCTCTCCTTCTATTTCCCGAAGTTTCGGTACCTTACAGTGAAAGTGTCATTAAAGTTCTCGGATTATTACGTACGGCAGATCTAACAGATCATCTTAAGCAAGGTGGTTTTAAATTTAGCTTTTGATTGAATATTAGCTTGTTTAGCGTTAATTTTCGTTTGATTCCTTTTTTAATTAGCATTTATTTGTACGGTTTCTAATGTTATTTTATTATTCTTTTTACAAAAATGTTGTTTGTATTTGTATCGATTGAATAAGGTGATTTATTTTAGTTTCACAGCTATAGTTTGGTTCAATTTAGGAGATCCTCTGTTTTATTTTTCCTTCTGTATTGTTGTTAAGAAAATCAAAGAAAAGAGAGTAACAATTAAAATATCTGGTGTCAAATTAATAGTAACCGGAATGAGATTATTTTTATGTTATTATGAGTTTAATAAAGAAACGTTTGCCTTTTATTTAGGTTGATTGCAATCTTAATATATAATTTTAGTATATTGAGTGATTTGATTGGAGATTTAGTTGAACTGGATTTATTGTTGATTAGTAGAATGAATTACAACATATTGAGCAAAAAAATATGTATATATTGTGCTTGAATCTGTGTTACTTTTAGATGAAAGATCTTATAAACAAAGATTTTTACGTTAATGTATTTATTCATAATGAAGGAAATTAAAATTTCATGTTAATTTGCTAATTTATGTGCAACTTCCTATGTGGCAGTCCAGTCTTTACAAAAATACATAAGTTTTGAGCGATTGAAGGCCAGAGCTGGCTGCTCTAGTTTCGGATGTGGAGTCGTCACCGTGAAGCATTCTCCACGTACAAGAGGATGCCATCAAGAGATCATTCAACTATAGTTGATGATGTAGAAGAGAACTCAGGTAAAGTTACTATAGACCAACTGAGGTCTCTGCATAGTCATGTTTGTGTAGCTGTTAAGAGTTTTAATTGCCTGAAGCACGGAACATTATTATTCCCTTCAGATTGGTCTTTTTGAGTTCTGTATACCAAAAATTTTAACGAAATGGAAAGATTTTTGGAATTTGCTTATATTCTTTCTCCAGCAGTAAAATTTTCTGTTGCGGAGTTCTTTGGCTCTCTTTTCAATTAGCTCTTCAAAAATTTGCATTCATTTATTCGCAATTATTCTGAGCTTTCAAGTTACTTTGAAAGATTTGTGTACTTAATTTGTGTGTTTGTTTAGCTCTCTTACAGAACAGCATGGGCATGGAAACTACAAATCCTTCATGGTTGCTTTCCTTTCCGCATGTAGTAGTGGCAACCATAATTTCACTCCTATTTGGCTACCACCTTGGGTTTGTGTGATATCTTAAACTTCATCTTCATATGTTCTTTATTTTGCTTGTTTGTTTTGATGGTTCGCAAAACAAGATTAGATTTTTGTGATTTGCATGTTGTCCAACCTATACAGTGTAGTTAATGAACCACTTGAAAGCATCTCCATGGATTTAGGTTTCAGTGGCAATACTCTGGCTGAAGGTGACATTTTATCCCATTTTTTCCCTCGTGACTTTTGTTCTGGACCCTAGACCTCTAACATGATAGACTTTATTATGAAATGTTAAATTCAGGTCTGGTGGTGAGTACATGTTTGGGTGGTGCCTTTATTGGATCTTTATTCAGTGGTTGGGTTGCTGATGGTGTTGGACGTCGTAGGGCATTTCAGTTGTGTGCTCTGCCTATGATTATTGGTGCTGCTACAAGGTGATATACATTGCTAGTGAAATTCTTGAACGAATGATTTTCAAGCTATGCCCTTTATTTTATTTCTTAATGCTGGAGATAATAGCTTTTGATTTAAATTTAATTCCATCTTTTTATAATCTATTTGATTTACTTTTTTATTTTCAAGGAAGATGGATTAGAGATATCATTTTTTTACCTCGAGGAAAACTCCTGTTTTACTACAAATCATCTATCTTCAATGAATTAAGACTAGTGATAGCTTTTTACTATTACATCTATGCTTGTGTAGAGGTCATGTTTTAAACTGGCTAATTATATGTGCCATATATAGAAGTTTTTATTGTCTTTATAATATAAAATATATATATATATATATATATATTTGGCTTGCTCTATTCCCCCACACCATTGTGTTCTCTTGGCTTCACTTCATAAATTTGAATTTATAAGGATGATACTCTGACAAACAAATTTCATCTTAGTGCAACATCAAAATCTTTGGCGGGTATGCTCATTGGAAGGTTCTTGGTTGGGACTGGAATGGGACTTGGTCCACCTGTTGCCTCTCTTTATGTGGCAGAGGTATTCACGCTATTAATGTTATGTTACAGTAATCTTTGACATATATAACACTCTTTTTTTTGCATGAATGTAATCTGTACTGATTTTATATACTCAATTTGTTTAGGTTTCCCCTGCTTCTTTAAGGGGAACATATGGAAGCTTCATCCAGATTGCAACATGTCTGGGACTTATGGGAGCTCTGTTTATTGGAATCCCTGTCAAAGAAATTGCTGGCTGGTATGAATCATGCTTTAGGTATCACGGTATCTGTTATTTATATGTTGCTTCTTTGACTTATTTTGCATATTTTTCTCAGGTGGCGTGTTTGTTTTTGGGTCTCAACAATTCCCGCTGGATTATTTGCATTTGCCATGATATTTTGTGCGGAAAGTCCACATTGGTTGTACAAGGTTTGCTCTCTGATTTGCTTGTTACCATCTGATTTTATGTCTTAATATATTTTGTAACATCTTCCTGTAAGTGTATTTATGTTGCTGCTGCACTTTAATAGATGCAATTGATCTGTTAGAATCACTGTCAATTATTACTGGATCCTTTCCTGTCATTCTTATTTTATGCTTTTAACTTTTTCTGTATAAACTGCACCCATTCCTGCGTGGATCAGAAAGGAAGAAGTGCTGAAGCTGAAGCAGAGTTTGAGAGGCTTTTAGGTGGATCACACGTCAAATATGCCATGCTAGAATTATCCAAATTGGATAGGGGGGATGAAGCAGACACCGTGAGGCTCACAGAATTGCTCTATGGCCGCCATTTTAAAGGTAGATATTTACCATTTCTTGTTATTCTATACTTTCTGAGGTTTTTGGGGTCCCTATTCTGCTTTACTTCTTTCCTTTTGGGTTTTGTTATTCATATTCTCCTTTTGCAGTTGTTTATATTGGGTCAACCCTATTTGCTTTACAACAACTATCTGGTATAAATGCTGTGTTTTATTTCTCTTCATCTGTATTTAAAAGTGCGGGAGTGCCATCGGATGTTGCAAATGTTTTGATAGGAGTAGCAAATTTATCAGGTATACCTTGTTCTTTGATAGTTTGACCATGAAATATTATGGCATTTTGGCTGCCTTTCTTGATGCATTATTTTTCCTTCATGATAGGATCTATTATTGCGATGCTTTTAATGGATAAACTTGGAAGGAAGCTACTTCTTTTGTGGAGCTTCTTTGGCATGGTAATTTACGAGAGTTGTGATTTTCTCATTAAAACCTATTTCATTTATTAGTCGTGGTATTCTATGGAGCTATATGTGACAAGTATATATAAAAATGAAGAAAAGAAGCACATATTATTTCCCAAGGTTCATTAGAATTTACACCCCTTAATGCTTTACTATGTTCATCTTTTGTGCCAAGAGCCCTCCTGGTTAAATTATTCTACACATCTCCTGTTCGAAATGGAACGAAATCAATTTCTTTTTTGTTAAAACTAGAATATCATTCATAGCAAGGATTTTGGTTTCAAATTATACTGCTGCGACCATGTTGTGCATGGCTCAGCTAAAAGCAAATATCAATTCCCTTTTCTTAAATGAACGGACGAAATTTGATTTTATAAATTCTCTTTATTTTGTGAATTTAATTTACGCAGACTATGGCAATGGTTCTTCAAGTTGCTGCGGCAAATACTTTCATGTCAGGCTCTGGATCTTTATACCTATCAGTTGGTGGCATGCTAATGTAAGTATTGGTTGCCTGAAGGCAAATAGAAATTGCCCCATGATATAACTGTCAGCCTTGGTTGCCTGAAGGCAATAGTGAGTTAACCTCTGGATATGGATTCTTAATTTTGAACACACTGCAGGTTTGTCTTAACATTTGCACTAGGAGCTGGTCCTGTTCCAGGTCTCCTGCTGCCTGAAATATTCCCTAACCGAATCAGGGCAAAAGCTATGGCATTCTGTATGTCAGTACACTGGGTAATTTCTTTTCTTCTCTTTTCTTCATCTCCAATGTTATTTGTTTGCATTTTTTCTTCCAAGCAAGAACTTGTGATCGACAGCTTTTGCAATCAAATGCAACTCTGCAGGCTGGAATGTCAAATTATTGAGGA